TTGTCACTAATCACTTTCATAAATGTAATTAAAATGTTACACTTAAAAACTGTTATGTTCGACAGTTGTTTGTTTTTTACTAAGTGTAAGTAATTCACTCGGGAATTATCAGATGCCGTACTGTGGATCTAAAATATATTATAATATATTACTGTGGATGGTTCCCAGAAGATTTTTTTGACGTTTTCGAATATAATTCACGATAAAATAAACAAATTGCCATCATACAGTTGGAGTACGGTCCATCATTGGATTAAGATTGAGCCATATTGTTCTTTACTAATCCTATCAGTTGAAATAAATCATGCGGGGCCAGGAAAATTTACGAGTTACTGCGTAACAACTCTCCCTTTTCAGTCGTTGTTTTGAAATGATTAATTGTAAATTAAAGAGCTAAAATGCAACCACTGATTATTAGTATAAAAAAAACAAAATTAAATATTTGTTACGGTTTGCATGTTCGTTGGGTGAGAAATGCATATGCATGCTGCTATAATTCGTATTGGTTTAACGAACGTAATACTATATTAAAAAAATTGACATGACCTTTATGAACTATAAAGAAGTCATTAAAGCCTTTAAAACCATGAGTTTTGAATGTAACATTTTTTTTTTGTTGTATTACCTTTTAAAAATACAAATATTTTTATTTAAAAAAAAATTAAATTAGAGCAGTTTAAGTATATAATATTAACTTATTATGATCAGCTACTGCAAACTTTAATTGCATGTTAAGGAAGTAGGACATCATAACACTGTGTACTTACTTACCTTGTTTTGAGCTTTAAGTAGATATGTGTGCTTCACTGAATGTAAAAAAGTCATTAAGAAAGAGAATACTAATTTACTTTTTAAACTTGATAGGCAAGATGTAGGTATAAACAAAACATACCGTTATTTAGTTGGTATAAATCAGCTTTGTACTTTTTTACCAACTACTTTAGCACGGTCTTAACTTTTAAATACAGCTGATAAAAACAAAATTAAATTTTGATGGAATGTCATAATTACATAATTCATAATTATAAATATATAACCATGGAATGTAAATGGTGAGTATAAAACTACTGTGTTAATTTATTTAATAACTTATTTTTATATTGAATAAATTAATACTTTTTGGCATTTTGAGTTTTAAATAAATTATATTAAAGTAACAACCCATGATATTTTTAGAAAATAATATTTTAATTTCATGAAAAATGAAATAGTATACATAGATATAAGACTTTCGATCTGTTTTATGTAGGTAGGTATAATAGGTATAATATATATGTATTCTAATAAAACTCAATTGTATTGTATATATAGCTATTTTTTCACCTTTATACGACTTGAGATTTGGATGGGGAGCATAAAATATAATGTTTTATAGTAATGTGTTTTTTTTAAGTAAAAATGTATCAATCTTGATGTCAAATGATTAGTATCCGTTAGCAAATTTGGATCTTTTTGGTATTTGGTGAGTGATTAAGAAATGATCAATTCCATAATATCTAAAGTACCTAGTCCTTTTTGAATAATTAAAAAAAAATAATGAAAATAATAAACAAAAAACAAAACTTGAATACATAAGGTACTCTATTACTAAATTTATAATTGTCTAATATGATTACATTTTAATTTAATTTAAATTAGTTTCAAACTATTTAGTATTTATTGTTGAATTTAAGGCCATAAACTATGGCCATTTGCTGTTTGTAGGGATGACGGTTGGTTTTAGAACACTTATTGTATGTGTGACAAGGATTTTGATGCTAAAAATTCCGGGTGGTCACCCATCCGGGAGCTAGCAAAGCCGGCCGATATGCACACTCAAAGAGTCTCCGCAGATTGCGCATACGACTGAGCATCACCAAAATACATATTTCTTTTAAGATGTAATTATAGCAGTTAAAAAATACCAGAAATATATTATCAAAATATTTTCGTTATAACATTTTTAAGTTAAAATCTTCACAAAAATGTGGTTTTGTAGTATCAATTTTTATAGATACCTACCTAATGCTTAGCAATATAACTTCAGTGTCTTTATAATTTAAAAATATTTATCGCGTGTATTTAAAAAAAATTTCTACCACGTATAGGAACGTAGATAGTTATATAATACAGTATACCTTGGTTTTGGTAGAAAATAGTTCCATATATGCTGTACTACTAGACTTCTAATAATACTTATATTGGTGTTGATATAAATTAATTAAAAAATATTCTTCAAAAAGCTTACACACTGCCTTAGTTTAGAAATATTTTTATTTTTTGTATGCAATGAATAAAAAATTAATTTATCAACGTTCAGCTTGGACCGTTATTTGATTTTAATTACAGCTCAAAAATTCCATTCTCCATAGGTAAAAAGTTTCTAGAAAGTATTACATTTTTCAGAGATTTGTTGTCCAATTCGTGGTAGTGTGGTTTTATATATTACTAGCTGTCCCGTCACGGCGTTGCCCGTGTATTATATAGCTACATACAAAACCCCCCTTTTACCCCCTTAGAGGTTTAGTTTTGAAAAATGCTTTCAAAAAAAAATAATAATAATAATAATAATATTTACAAATGATTCTAATGATTGTATACACAAGTTGTTATTAAAAAAATGATTCTATAGTTATAATTATAATTTGTTTAGTTAATTATCTTGATAGTGTTCACGCCGATGTGCGTGGCGATAAGTGTAACTCAGCCGACAGCCACCTTGCTAGGCAATATACTAAAATTCAATTTAATGCATTCTTCAACCTGGTCTGCCCGATTAACCAATGGTAACCAAAACATTTAAAAAAATACCAATTTCTACTAAAAAAATTAAGAAAGTTGAGCGAAAATTAATTATTAATTAAAATAAACATGCAAATTGTATACCTGTAGACACATTGTATGGTACGGTGGCCCGTGGGGTGACTTAAGTTTGTTTACAATTTTAAGCGCGATTGCTTAAACTAACCTGATGAACAAACACTTATAAAAAAAATCACTTTAAATTTTTCATTAATCTTCCAATTGATTCCACTGTGAAATGAGCACTAAGAAATTATATATTAACTGTTTTATATCATAGACACAAGATAGATGGATCTGTTTTAAGCAGGGCTTGCAAACGTTATAACAACGTTGTGATTATAACGTTATATTTGATAAAAAACGATTGAAATTTGTAAACGTAATTATAACGGAAAACGATAAACGTAAATAAATAAATAACACAAAACAAAACGTAACGTTTAACAAAATATATGATGTATCATTAAACAAAACATAACGCAAAACGGTATATATTGTATTCCATTAAACGAAATAATTAATTCCCAATTATTTAATAATACTTAGTAGTATTCAATTATTTATTCAATCCAAGAATTAATTTTATTCCGTATCCGGCCTATCCGGGAGATCCCGTATTAGATATTATTTTAAAACTTAATAAGAAGTTATTAATAGAATAATTTAATTACCAATAGCTAATAATAGTGATGCTCTGATAATATTGTACTGTACTATCTGTACTACGGTCGAAATTTATACCACTCAAGTTATTCAACTATTGTGTTCGGTGTTCAGTTTGCTCAGATTTATTCACTCGTCAGTGTTTGTCTAATTGTTGTCAAATGTTTAATATTTATATTTTATACTAATATACTTATAGTTTTAACGTGCATACGTTTTCTTTATATTAGTTTAACCCATTTAATTAAATAAATAAAATTAAACAATACCTACTTAAAACTCAGAATAGGGAAATTATGTCCCCAAAAAAAGGTCTTAGTCGTATACTTTTAAAACAGGTATCTAAATACTTTTAAATTTTAAATAACGATAAACGCAAAAATTGTATAACGTTTTAATTATGAATAACGATAAACGCAAAAATTGTATAACGTTAACGAAAGATTTAAGAGAACAAATTGGGTACCTATAAAAGTCTAAATCAGTTTGTACTATGTTCTAAACATTTAACCATCGACTTTTTATTTAATTATAATAACAATATGGCACTGTATATATTTCAATAGATTGTGTTAAACAAAGTTACATATTTCTTATATTTTATTTGTTTTTTGACTTAAAATTATAAAATAATGTTTTATTTTAATTTTAATTAACTAACTTAAAAATAAACGCATGGAAAATAATGTTCCTAATAGTAAAACGATCATACAACTTGGTATTTGAATTACAATTTGTATAAATAATAGTTAATCGAACAATCTACAATCAGTACAAATGTCCATAGGAAAGATTTTATTCGCTTCTCTGCTAAAATATATGAATAAAGTTATGTAATTGTTGTGCCTTCTAAGCGAATTGCTCATAAATAGTTATCTACGATTTTTATTTTTATTGTATAAGCTAAGAAAGATTTGTAGGATTTAGGTAAATTCTTTTAATGGGGTTATTGTGACTAAAATCTATATTGTATTTTATACTTATTCTTAAAATACTCTTAGTAGGTATTTCCAGTTTATATACATGACGCACCTGATCTTAATAATTAAACAATATGTTACCTATTGAAATAGATAATAACGTACTACAATAAAATATATAAATAACTGTTTCTATATTGTGTATCATTTTTTTGATTTATACTGCAAATATTTTTATTGATTGCTTATTTGTTATTATTTGGCATCCAATTTTCCTCACGTTTAAACACTTTAAACATCGTGCCACGACCACTTATCCGTATTCGGCCTAATTATATAACCTTGGTTTTTTTACAAATGAAATAAATATTATTATTGGTATCAAGAAAATTAAGTCAATTTATATTTTTTTTTTCGTAACATCCATTGTTTTCAAATACTTACATTTTATTTGTTTATTTATGTTTATTATTTAAGCAAATGTTTTTTAAAGACACTTTATTACCTATACATCTTTGTTATAACTTATAATGCAATATGTGTAATATTTGTGTATCCATATTTTGTACATGCGTGTTGCATTCAGTCTCTTAAATTATGTACAAGGATTAAGGTTAGTTTTTTTTTTGACAGGTTCACATTTCTGCCGGGGAACGTTTGATGGATGGCTTTGCTGGGCAGATACTGAAGCCGGAGTCACCGTTCACCAACCGTGTCCAGAATTCATTTCTGGATTTGATCCAACGAGTGAGTTTTATTTGTTGATTTTAAACACTTACACATATGTTTTAAGATCACAATATTTTTTTTAAAATTACGATAAAGATAACAGTATTTACTTATTTATAAAATATACCAATTAATTTTATTTTTAATCGTTATTACAGAAGGTATATTTATTTTTACGTCATTGGCCCTAAAAAGGTAAAATAAAAATTAGTTTTACTGTAATATCTACCAACTCTGGTCCCTGATAAGATTATTCATTAATTTCAATATGATATTAAAAACCTGTAGAAAGTTTACAAAATACGGATCAGTATTTTCTCTCTCTCAGATGATTTAATTTAAATTTAAAATCGTATTTATTATTTGATTCTTATAATTTATTTTTATTGACAATATTTTTCGTCTTTCCACGGTGTATTTGATAATGGAAATTCAAAGTCCAAGGGGATATTAATTGAAAATGTGGAACATTTTTTGAATGATATATATTTTTTTCAGCTTAGTACCTATCTGATATGATCTCAAAACTAACCTAAATGTTTACATTTTGTATTTCTTCTTGCGATATTATAAGTTGTGCATAGTACATTGTACACCAATTACCTATGAGCAAACAAAAAATAATCGGAGTTATGGATCCGGCAGTTTTGAGTTTATCCCGAATTGAGTATTGCACTGTAATGTGTTAATTTTTTTAATTAAATATGAAATAATTGAAGATGAAAAATGATTCTCAGCGGAAATAGTGTGTCAACCTTTATTAATTCTGAGGACGTTTTACAATAAATAAATAAATCTGTATTACTATTAGTTATTGATTTTTCAATTAGTGAGATATAGTAGGTTGAACTAATATTTTTCCGAAAACCTCACATATATTTTATAATAACTTACTATCACTATTATGTATCATAGTATTATAGGTACTGTCATGTTATATTAATATATATATATTATATAAATGTATATTACATATAAATTGCTAACAATTTCATTGCGTGCTGAAAATAATAATATACTCGATGGGAAAACATTTCAAGGCTTATGGTTAATATTTTTTAAACTACAACAAAATATTAAATAACTGAATTATTAGAGGAAAGATGGTTATTTTTCGTTTAAATATTTAATTTTATCAAATTTTAAACTTAAAATGCATATAAAAAAATGTGTGCATAATATGTATTCTTAATTGTTTAAAATTGCAAAATGAGATACTTATTAGGACTTTTTATGATTTCTTAACAACAAAATAATGTTTTCGTGATTTTGATGAACTTTGTCAAAAAGAACACCTCAAGGAAACCTTGCAGTATTTATTTTCAAGCCGTTTTATTTAAAAAAGTGAAAATGACAAATGTCAATAAAAAGCATAAACAATGCCACAATATTATGAAAAAATGATATTAAAATATACAAAATACATATTTTGTGAAAATGTTATATATTTTCGATAATTAAAATGTGAGCGGTACAGCAGTACAGCACTGGACAATTAACACTTGACGGAAAGTTATGGTGTTACAAGAATATTGGATAGAATCCTTAGGAGCATCCTGAAGAGTCAAAACAAAACAAAAGATAAAGTATTGCAAAGATAACAAAAACTACTTCTACCCAACGGACAGAAAAGAAGGAGCGTCAAGCGAGAGCTTTCATCTGATCGACGAATAAGAATAATACATGTTGGTGACAATAAGTGGACAATCTAAATCTGTCTTCTCAATAAATTCTTTATATTACACACAGATAAACAATTCGCAAACCCAAGTATCGAAAAATAGAAGAAAACAGATGACACCAAAGTAAGGGGAAATCTGCCGGTTAAAACTGTCGCAGCATTTATATCAAGTGGTCGTCTGCCAACTTACGAGCACTTATTAAAGTCATTCTCGAACACGGCATATTGGCCAATCACTGAAAGTCATTCAATGGTCTGAATACTCAGAGATTTTCACGATTTGAAACCCAAAACTAAGCTCTTCCCAGGACTTACCAAATCGTGTTTAATGAACATTTAAAAATTAAATAATAACTATTGCCTATTGATTACTAGCACTCAGTACTCAGTAGGTTCATCATGGAACCATTAAATCGAAGGGGCGGTGTTTCAACAAATTGAAATTAAATCAAATTTTTTACTAAAAAATAGTTATGTGAATTGATGATGAATTATACATAAAAAATAATGAATGGTGTTGAATGCGTGCTGGCATAGGATACCTCATATAATCTTATTATTTGTTTTATCTGATAACTTACAGGAAACGATTTGAAAATTCTGAAAACTGACTTGCAAATATATGAAAATTATTTCCAATATGACTACTCAATTTAAAACAAATTAGTCTTTAAAAAAAAAAAACATATTTGTAAAACCATTATTGAACATAGCGCTCAAAGTCTAAATCCTTGATTACAGCTTAGCTTAGTCTTTTATATTATTAATATTATCATCAGAGGCATAAAAATATTTTTTATGAAATTGATGATTTTACTATTTAAAAACCTATAAATATCACGAAATTGTTAATTTTAAAACTACTGATTATTAAAATCATCGAACATAATATTTTCTTTTTCGAGATAATTTACTGAACAATATAGGCTAACCCGATAGTTGAATAGTTATTATATACCCAGTTGCATGTGTACGTATTTTTAATTTCCTGAGTTTTATAATAATTCAAAATGTTGTATTGTAGGAACTGCTTATAAGATTTGCAATAAAAATGCTACATGGTTCAAGCATCCAATATCACGAGCAGTCTGGTCCAACTACACAACTTGTATTAACCATGAAGATTACAATGTAAGTATACAACTATATAGATACATCTTTGATTTATTGTATACAATACACTTATTTTGGGCACGTTTTACTGATTCAAGTCTTAATATCTACTATTCTATAGGATATCTAAATGGACATAAATTCTGTTTAGTAATATAATATGTAGTTCATCCACATTTGTGTCTTCAGCTAACAACTGTATAACATGAAAATTGTACTTCTCAACCGTGAACGTTCAGCTCCATTATTTTTTATATTAGAGTGAATTGACTTATTATCAAACTTGATGATAAGATCATTTTCCATGTGCGCACATTGGTTAAATTAAATATTTTAATTTCAAGAAAATTATGAATATGTATAATGATATTACCTGTACTCAGTACAACTAAAACGATTCCAATACTTATTAACAAAATGTACTCGATATTAATGAAAATGTTAGTGATTGTAAAATATAATTTTATTTTCGCGCAAGTACAATAGGGGATCAATTTATTACTCATAAATATATAAATGTATGGTACATTTTTTAGTATATTATATTATATATTACAAATTATAATATATTATATTTATTGTTCCTGCTGGGTTTCTTAACAGCTGACAGTGTAAATGAAAAAAAAATACGAATCGTCTCTTACACTGTACCTTATTCAGAGTTTATTATTACTATGTATATTATATTTATTCCTGACAATGATGGATAACATACAAGAAACATTGAATCAGAGTCCATAATTGAACACATATACTCACAGAAGAAAATACCTTATCTATAATCTTTACTCTTTAGGTATCATATAATATTTAGGAGTACGAAATATTTCTTAAGGATCTATTGGTTCAAATAATAGTCAACTTTTAAATTGATACCTTGTATAATATGATAATACAAAACCATTCAAACGCAAAAGGCCATTATAACTCCAAATTGACAAAAAGGAGTTAGAAGTCTTATCAAAAATCTTTATTCGTTTACCACGACAGCGTCTGATGTTTTATCTAAATAGAAGGAATCGTGTACACTACTCTGTACCGGTTTTAAAATTGGTTTTAACTTTTTTACCACACACAGATAATCAATAAGTTTGTTTTTCTTTAATTTTGATTTCGGAAAAAAGTAATAATATATTGACGTTTTATATAGAATTTGTATCATAGTTTTTGTACTGCAATAGTTAAAACAAATGATCCCCAAAAACATCGTTTTTGGTAACAGTGATTCCAATATCAAATGCACATTAGACCAAAAATAATTATTTCTTCGATCACTGTATACTGTATTACATTTTTTTTTGTTGAAGACTATTCTTACATTGGCAAAATATTGTAATATCTTCGCCACGTGTGATATAAATTGTTAATGACGTTATGTCAAGCGTCCTGCTATCATCGTTTTACAGGAGGTGTACAGTCACGTACACAAAAAAAATATTCAGGGAGGGTTAATAAACAAATTTACAATAATTGTCACCGACCAGTTATTGTAGTTATCGATGATTAATATAAATAAATTACACAACTATTAATATTTTGGGTGAGTGGTTGACCCCCCCCCCCCTGTATACATGCCTTGGAGGTGTACAAGTGTTTTCAACACTGTTTTCGTTAAACTCTCAGATTAAACTATCTGTCAACTTCAATCTCAACGCTACTCTGTCCTTCACCGAAATTGAAAGTTTGCAAAAAAAGTTCAATCTTATACATTATGTTTACAAGTACCTACACGAAATCAACAAATTTAAATTCAAACGCTCCCTTTTAAAACATTTATCAGTGTATTCGTAGTCGGAATTGATAAGACAAAGGTACAATTTTTATTTATTTATTATTGATTTTTGTTCTTTAAATTTGTACAATTGTACACATACATTTTTTAAGAAGCCAACAGCGGTAGAAATACGTTATAACAAGTATGTGATATTAATTATTATATGACTTGATATATGAATATATATGAGTTATTTTATGTATATATATATATCATTAGATTAAGATTTATTCAATTGGTTCTTATGAATAAAAATAGTAAATACTTGTTGATTGTTATAAATGCCTAAGAATTTTGTGATAAAATGATAAAATTGTACATATTACGATTATATGATTTAATATTACGTATAATATATGATTAAGCAACTAGGTATATATATTTTTTATTATTTTTTTAAACTAATACGACTAAGAGTTGCAAAATTGGGTGCCGAAGTAATAAAATCCTTAAATCACAGAACTTAAGATCTGCTATACTTGTTTTTAATCTTATTTATTTTTCATAAGACAGTTTTTTTTTCGGAACTGTGTGACTATAAATTTTATTCACCCCACACTAGTCTGCACTAACAATGGAGACAAAAGGAACAACGAAAATGGGGAAAAACGGGCCCAGAAGGATAAAGTCATAACACCTCGTAAATATTAATCCATTGAAAGAGTAGAGACTCACTAATTAAGGGTCAAGAATGGCATTGTCTCTTTTATTCACCTGTATAAACAATAATATCGTTATACACACAATACAAATATAATATAAGACCATGGTATTAAATTTGTTTTTTATTGATCTAAAAATACATAGAAAACTTGGCCATTAGTAGTATAATATGGGCATTTGAGTTATTTACGGAATTAAAAAAAATTAAATTATGTTCCTTGTATCTTGTAGTGTTTGTTTCTAGAGTTCAGCAGATTTTTTCGGAGATGTGGAATTATTGGTTCATTTTTCTATAACTATGTTTAATGCGTATACTATTTGTAATATAGTAGGCACCTACTAGATTAACGACAGAAAATGTAGAAATATTTTATATTTACAAACCGTATAATGTTTCCAAACTTTTTTGATGTCTTGTATAGAGACGCATATTCAAAAAGTTTTCCAAATTTTTTTATGCAATATTTTTAGGTTCTTTCGCTATGGTAATTTAACATAAAAAAAAAACCATAAGGTATACAAACTACTTCACAACGGACACTCGTGGCACTTCATTACAGAATATTGTTGTATATTATGTATTTCTTATTCGAAAACCATGATAAATTACTGAGTATAAATCATGATAATGATTTTGAGCTGATCTCAGTTAACTGATATAAGGTTAAATTACTCTTGAAATTTAAACTATAATTTTATTTTTTATGTTTCTTACGAAATATATTAATTATGATGAATACATGACTCTCGAACTTTTTAAAAATACTTCTTAAAGAAAAACTTTAAAATTGCACATTTAGTAGTATACGAGTGGGTACGAGTTGTTTTTTTAGACGTTTTTTCGAAATCAATTGTGCGAAAATGTAGTTATTGTGTAGAATATAGTACCTATATACGTCTCTATAGTACCGTTTAGGGAATTTCAAGTAGGACGTATATAAGTTTTTCATCCCTAAAGGGGTTTAGGGTTATTCTCGAGCAACCAGACAGTTCAGGATAAAAGTTATGTAATTCGTAAATCATATATACATTTTAGTAAACTTGGTTAAAATATCATAATGAAAGGGAAGTAAATTTATTATGTTGACATAATGTATAAATGTCACGTGTATGTAATTTGATACTTTATACTACCTATGAAATGTAAACCAAGATTGTACACGCCAAATCAATGTAAAATATAACCAAATATGACTGTTAATAAATTATAATATTGAAGATTAATTAAATTAAGTTTACTCATCAGTTATCGTGCTAATAATTTAACTATATATCCACTAATTACATTATAGATATTTGAATTAGGCATGTAAAACAACAGTACGCACAATTGTTTTGATCTCTATTCTCAAGTGATTTAGCATTTATTTTTATTTTTCGGAAACAGCTTAAGCTAGTTACCCAAATGTTAGCTTGGTATACAAATAAGTATATAATACAAATATCTTAATGATTGTTTGTGTTATGTGTTCGTAAACATGATGTTTGCAATATTGTGATACTTTGATTGTAACTAGCATACAGCAAAACATTTTTTGACGTATTTGAGCCTTAATACTGAAATTAAGGTTCAGGTTACCTATTAGTGATATTCAATTTGGATATTTTTACGTATTCCATCTTAAGCATTGTGATTTAACATTTCTTTTTCGAATTCATCGGAAAAAAATTGAAGGATGTATTAAAATGGGTTCCATTTTCATAGTTTTTAGCTGAATATAATCGTATTATTTGAATTTTTTCCGGTGTTCTTTTATATAAGGTAAATATAAACTGTATTGGTAGTAAACTAATATTATGTTTTATTAAATGATTGTTTTTTTTTAAATTTTCTCTTTTAAAATAATTCGTTTATATCATTTAATCTACTCATTTGATATAAATTATGGTTTTAATAATTTTAGACTCAAAATTGTGTTTGATATTTTGTTATTATTAATAGCTTTGAATAAAAATTATTATACAAATAAATCTCCTTATTATAGTAGTGTTGTAACTGTCACTGTTAGGAACAGACAAACTGGCTTTTATAGTTTCGTTACAACAAATTACATTTCTATGCGAAAGGATTATCAAAACCATTCGAACTGTCCATGTAATAATAATGTGGGAGAAACCATGATGATCCAATGATGACACCTTTTGACATTTATTCATGAGTTGAAACTAAGTTAACTATGACTTCTATTTAAGTAATTATAATATAATTGGTGATAGAAGACATAATATTCTAACAACCTATTTAGGGCATTAAAAAAATGTAAGATACACTAATTGACATTTTTAATTTCGTTTATAGTATTAGTAGTGTGTGATATTAGTCTACATTTTATACTATGAAAAAAATGTTAGGTATATTTTAGTTAGAAAAACAAAAACAACTGTGACGATTTAAATGTAGAAGTGTTAAAAACTCATAGTCACATAAGTCGAAGTTATAATCGGATCAAAAATATATACTATTATATGGATTGATTTACCAAGGATAACTTCAATTTTATCTTTTAATAATGTATTTTACTAAAATTTTGATTATCGGAATTTTTAAGCATACTTTTTTTAAAGACCATATTTTCAGGTG